AAACTTAAATGAAAATTTAAGTATAAAAAAAAAGGAAACCACAAAAAAGAATTATCCTTTTGGAACGGTATTACAAGTGCGTTTAACGGATGAAAAACTCATAAAACTATTCATAAAATAGTTTTGTTTTTAGAAAAGTAAAGAAATTTTCAAAAATTAAAAGGATAAAAGGATAAGTTTTTAATAAACAATCAAATTGAAAGCATTTTTTGTTTTTTTTGTTTTCTTTAATAACAAAGAAATTTAATAATGATTTTATGTACATATATACTCGTATGTATATATGTATGTACACATATATGGGGGTATATAATGTTTCATTTTATTCACTCCTCTTTCATGAAAATTTCATAAACTTCAAATTTTTAATTATTGATGTATATTAAAAATCATTTACAAAACATATGAATAAAGATATTTCTATATATAGAGGCATGGGATCTATAACATATACTTTATATTCAGGTTGGAGTCAAAAAGTGCTCAAAATATAAAGGGCAATTTTTTCATCTTTCTCTATAAATTTATAAATATAGGTTGAGTTAATCTATTTTTATAATATTTTATTTTAATCCCTTTTTTAAGTGGAGTATGTGCACAGAATAGAAGCACACGTATAATATGTGATCGTTTAGTACGATTCCTATAATTAAAAATTATATATGCGCTAGTTATTCAAATTTTTCGTTTTTAACTAAAATCTATTGCTTTTCTAAATTCGTCTGATTGATCCGCCGAATTATAACAACTCGAAATTTCACTAATTTTCACAATTAACTCAATTTTTTTGAAATTTAATAATTAAATTAATTTTTTAAAATATTAAAAATTAGTTCGAGCTCTTTCTAACAATCTTATGTTTTAAATATTACTTTATGATTGTTATTATAAAAAATTAAAATTTTTTTAAAAGATATTTAATCTACACTCTGAGCATAATTTACTTGATTTAAAATTTTTGATTTTAGCAAGTTGTGTCCTGGCGAACTCCAGACAGTGATTTCTTCTTGTCTGACTTTTTCATAGGCGCGCTACGGATACGAATGCAAGCGTTAAGAATTTGAGCCGGTTTTTGAGTAGCTTGAAGTGATTCGAATGAAGAGTGGGAAAGGAGAGATCGGGCGGTACCACAACCCTTCGAGAAGCCGCGACAATCTAACCTAACCTCAACTAGTCATTAAAAAATTTTTTAAAATAATTATTAAAAAATCAAAAACAATAATATTTATTCAATATTTTTTTTTAAAATTAAAAAATTTTTTTAATTTCAAATGAAAATCCTTGATTACTCGCATGAGCCAAATATTGAATTGTCAGAAAACAAGTATAAAATTAGAATAATATTCGAACGCAAATTAAGTAAACGCCTCCTTCCATTAAAATGAAAACTCTCAATTACATTCATAGTCAAAAAAAAAAAAAAATTAATTTTTAATTAAAAATTATTAATTATAATTTTTGTTTTCTTCTTAATCTCATACATACTTTTGCTTCTGTATTATTAATTTTGACCTAATTTTGCAGTCTTTTCAAATTTTATGAAAGAAAATAAGAAATTTACAAAAAAAAAAACTTATTCGAATAAAAAATGTAGAGGGAAAAATTAATTTTTAGTTGTAGAAAAAGTCAAGGAAACAAAAATGTTTATTTTGTTTCTTTTTGCTGACTATAGAGGGAAAAAAAAGAACATAATTTTTTTATGTTTCCCGCCTTTAACTTGTCGGTGAAATTAGAAACAAATTTGAAAAGTTGTTCAAAAAAAAAAATTTTTTTTTTTTTAATTTTTTAATTATTTTTATAATTTTTTTTTTTTTTTTGGCTATTCATATTAAATTTACCTTAGCGTAACGTATTTGAAGGTAAGATGCGGAGGTAAACTATAATTTTTTTTTTTTTGGCGATGATAGATTCATGGACTTGTGGGCAGAATTTGTTATTATTAATTTATTTTTTTTTTCCTTACTTTCGTTTTGTTTTTGAAAATTTTGAAAAAAAAAATTCAAGTCTAATAATTTGATGTATGTACGTATGGTGATAAAATGATAATGCAAGAAAATTAAAAATTACAAATATAAATTAAATATGCTTATACACCTGTATATTATATGTGTATATTAAGTATTCAATACATACGCAGTAAAATTATAATTCTTATGTATAATTGAAATATACACATATTATGTATGGGTTCATATATTGGCTATTGATATATGATGATCGAAAAGAAATCTATGAATGAGTTTATCTCAACAGGATATCTTGACAAATTTTCAATTTAATATACTTACACAATTTTATAAGCTTATAAGAAGATCAAATTATGTACAAGGTGATGTTTAATTATTCATTCAATACAAAAATTTGTAAACAATTATTAGTTCAAAAATTCTTCGAGACATGCAATTTTTATAAACAAAATTCAAGTAGAAAATCGCGACACCTTCTGCGTTATTTACATAATTAGTTCTAAGGAATTAGTAACTAATAACAGATTGCATTACTCCAGAGAAAAATTAGCTTTAAATTTCGTCTACTAGTTACAATGTGGTAAAACAGATTGGATAAATTAAATTTGATTTGGCATTACTTGGAAATAGTGAAATAAGTGCTTAATAAGCACTCAACCCAAAACATCACTCCGTGGAAAACCTCTTGGTTCAAAAGTTATAGCAAATTTTTTCGAATCCTAAATCCTTGTTATACTAAAATAGTAAGCCAAGGGTATTGTTGGAAAGGTATCGACGGCAATTACAATTTTTGCTCCAAAAGATATTTGGAAATTATAGTCCTGCAAGGTACTAGGTCCCGAAAATTTGATTTAGAAAAAAAATATGTAAAAAAAAAAAACAGTTTTATTCACAATACAGATTGTGTAACTGATATTTTCAGTAAATTTTGGAAAAAAATTTATCTGGAGGTTACTCGAAACCACGGGCCAATCCTTTAGTTTTTCGGAAATCTGAAATTTGAACAAAAATTTTATAATTATGAATGGTATCAAAAGAAAGATCTTACCATGTTCCAGAAGTTTTTTAAAATTCTTAAATAAATTAATAAACAAATAATGCCACCTTCTTTTATCTAAGATCGCAGTAATTCATGGAAGCTAGTTAGTTGAATATATTTAAAATTTGGAATTAAAGTTAGGTAATTTTCACATAAGAAAACACAAAAATATCATTTACACCACCATTTCTCTTATTATTTCCGACAAAGTAATGTTGCATGGAATTAATATTTACAATTTATAGAAACCCGTAGTAATGAACGGTAGCTAAAACGGGTATGATATTATTGGCTATTACTATTTACATTGTAATTTGGAAATTCTTCAAGTTCCCTTCCCAGTTTCCTCTTCAGTGGTTTTCTAACTTTTCTCTAATTTAAATGCTTCACATTGCGGTTTTTGATCTTAGTTCTTATTCTACAAAAATAATTTTTATTAATACTTCTTTCTGTGATTTCTCATACCCGACTATTGAGTTTAATTAGAATATTTTAATCAAATTTTAGGCATCCTGTTCAATTTTACTAAAAAAATTCATACACAATTGATATTTTTAAAGAATTGTGTATGAAAATTATAAAAAAAAAAATAAAAGTAGAAATTTTTTTTCAATTTTCAGAAAAATTCCAGCTGTGATCTCAACTTGTAAAAAGTCTCATTTAACGTAATATTTTTTTTTTGTAAAGATTATCAATTTAGATATTCCCACGATTAAAAGCTACGTATATACACAATTTTTTCGTATTCACATACAAAAGTTATTAAAATCAAGTTATAATGAAGACCATGACTGCAATAAATATTGTAGAAATTCAATGATAGTAAGTAAATGCTAATGTTAATGATTGAAATTCAATGGTTTGGGGGAGGGGGGAAGTTCTAAAATTATTATTCGCGCCATTTATTCAAAAATAAAGTCATTTGAATCTGTGGAAATCAATATTGTGTAGGTTTTTTTTTTACCTTTTTGAAATTATGAATGAAAATTATATGCTTTTTTTGTGACTGTATTCAAAACGTTTAGTAAGAAGACATGAAGTTTTTTTTTCTTTTAAACTCTGTCTGTTTTTATAGGGGGAAAATATATCGACAGGTGATTTCAGGTTCTATATAAAAAAAAATACAGAATTCAAAATCATTAATGTTTTCTATTTTATAAAATATTGTAATATTTAATTGATAATAATTTGCTTTGGGAATTAAAAGGAAAAATTTAATTTGTAGGTGGAATGACAAAAAAAAAGAAATAAGAGTAAAATTTGGAAATGTTTTGGAAAATAAAAAAAAAAATGTTTGAACTAGAGCAAAATTCATTATAATAATTAAATTCTCATTAATGAATAAATCGCATAAAGCTATGACTTTGTTATTAATTCAATAACGAAGGGTTCGGCAGATTTATCCCTCTCCCCCCGTATATACATTAATTAAACTCTGGTTCAATTCACTTTTTCTTGAAAATCCAACCCATATAATCATGTAGGAACTTTATATATTTCATCAAACCTGCTGGAGGACTATGCTGTTGATTTCCATCTCATTTCATCGGTAACAGAGCCACAATTCTGCTTTTATTATTTTAGTCGTCATTATTGATTTTGGCAGTCTTTCTTCTGGCATTCTATAAATATGCCCGGCTCACTTGATTCCTTGAGTATTTGACAAAGCGTACAATATCTTAACCCCTAATTAGATTAAAAAGTTCTGCATTTGACCTTATGTAGTAGTTTCCAACATCATCCTGCTTTGGTAAATAAATTTTCCTTAGAATTTTTTTTTCAAAAATGCGTAACAAATTTTCATTTACCATAGTGAGCGTCCATATCTGCCCACCATAGATCCGCCTAATTACCGATCACATAAATTGCAATATTGAGAACCTAAGAACATAAAATATACTAAAAAATTAAATTTTGCTGCATATTTAATTCATAATATTCAAGATATTTTATTTAAAATAAAAATATTAAAATTTTTTTTATTTTATTTACAGACTGTCGAAGAAACACCTGAAGTGACTGTAAGTATATGTTTACAATAGACTTATATAAATAAATTTTTCAAAATTTTAATATTAAATAACAACATTATGTTTACAAATAATTTAATTTTCAATAAACAAATATTTAACATTTTTTTTACTCTATTTTCTATACCTTGTAATAATTTAAATTATTACAATTTTCATTATATTCATATATGCATCTGAAACAATGAACTCAATATTGCCACATATACATGTACATATAAAAGCTTGCACATCCAAAAGCAAAAGAATGGCTTGTATCAGCTGCAAAAGCAAATTATCAAGAATTAGCAAAATTACTTGCTGATCATCCAGAATTAGTACGTTTACAGGTAAGTGTTATGTTAAAATTTATATTTTATTTGTTTTACAAATTATTAAATAATAATAATTTTTTATATATATATATATATATATATAAAATATTCTTGTTACATTCATTAACACATGGTCTTACATAATAATAATGTATAAAGAAAAAGGAACCATATAAGAAGTCATTTTTCTTTTTTAACTTTTTACCGACCGTATTGTGTAAACAATAGGTAGGTTATGTGATGGCAACAAATTTTGCATATCGAGTTTTCGGTGGAAATGCACTTCTCCTTAGTAGGGAAGTGTAAATAAACTATTTTTAGCAACCTGTCGGTCTGTGTGCTCGCGTGTATCTCAAGTTCTGCTGAACCGATTTTGATGAAATTTTATATGTAAGTTTATTTCCACCATGGCACGGATTGATTAACTTTTGGGATATATCAGGCCTCGGGAACGGCATATTTTAGCGGGCCTGTTTTACATTTTTGAACATTTTGAAGAAAATATTCAACCGATTTACTTGAAATTTCATATATAAACTTTGCTCGACCGTCCGTAAAAATTCTTAACTTTTGGAAGAAATCAGGAATCAGCTATTGGGCGTTTACTACGGGCCAAATATACATTTTTGCGTATATAAAGAGAAATAATCGACCGATTTCAATGAAATTTAATATTTAAATTCTTCGTGTTAAGGCAACGAACATATAAATTTTTTGAAAGGATCAGGGTTCAGAAACTGATCTGAGGCCCGATTTTATAATTTTTGCCATACCTACGCAACGAATTAATGGAATTTCTTGAAATTTGATATTTGAGTTCTAGTTGTTACAGAAACTAACTGGAGAGCATTTCATGGAATTCGGGTAACACAAAGCGAAACTCTACTAAGAGCCAAATTTACATTTTTCTCGGTATGTCAACTATAAGCTTACTAATGTCCTAAAAATTGGAAAGAAGTATTTCACAGACATTTTTATAATATTCTGTAACACTTTCATTTAACTAGACAATACACATTGCGGTCGGTTATGTGCTGACCACACCAGGTTTTTTTTTGTTGTCTATTGAAATTTCATGTTTAATAATTAAAAATACTGGAATTATGTTAAACCGACACCATTATTATTACATAGTGTATTTCATCCTATTATAAAAGTATATAGTAAATATGTGAACATAAGTATATTTACAAAATAATAATATTTATGTTGCATATACATAAGTACATGCATATGTGCATTCTATTGCATAATATTTGCCTAATAATTTTTTTTATATTTGAGTATTTTAAGTAATATTTTGTATACATTTTATTTTTTTCTATAATAACCACATCTGCATTATATAAAAAATATTCTTCTTCATTTTTCTAAAAACACATTTTATCACAAGGAAACTGGTATATAATAACCCAGTCGGATTTTAAAGGGCATTATCAAATAATTTGACAAGTTTTTTATTATGATCTTAAAGAAGTTTTCTAATTTCCATAATATCCATATAAATGACGAACTTCCTCTACCACCAACGCTAATTTCTACAAGTTCGAAGCACGCAAAATGTATTCTCCCACACACACAAGCTGCTTTCGTATCAAACGTATTCTACCATCTAAGAATGTTCGTTTAATTGCAAAATCTAAAACAAACGAATCCCAGCTAAATGAATTTTCAATTTTTGAAAATGATTTTTAAAATGAGATTTATAGACTATTTAACAATGCTCAATAACGGAACCCACGGCTGACCCCGTCTATCTTTTACTGAATCTCAAAAGCTAAAATGAATATTTGCGAAACGAACCAGAATTTAATAGGGTGGTTTGCCTCACTCATGGTGTGTCATTCCATCGTGGATCTGTCATGTATTGATTTCTTAATTTAATATATATGCAGTATTTTCATCTTATACACACGTCGCTGTAATTTAAATTATTAGCATGCATTTGAAAACGAAATTTCAGTCGAATTCAACCATTTATCAAGCGAATCCAAGAACGTCGTTTAAGCATCGAACATAGAATATGATATGAGCCAGGTACGAGTATTTAATATATGTACTTATTTTATGAAGAGCGAATTCCTTGATTGTTTGCTTTGTCAATTCCCATTTGTTTTCCCTCTCCGTTTCATTTTCTAAAAATTCAAAGAGAAAATTAAAGAAACTCATGTGAAAGAGGAAATGACATGAAGATTATAATTTTATAGACAACTTACACCAGTAGCGCTGAACTGCCCTAAGTGCTCTTGCACTTCTATCATGAAATACAACAATAATCCATTAAGAATAAGCCCAAACATTGCAAATCAATTCAAATTTTGATATCAATAATTTTATCTCAAAAATCTGACTGGGTTTCTAAATTACTTTTCACATTTTAACAAAAAAAAATCATTTACAAGGCATAATAAGTACTTACAACAAAAAAAATTCAAGTAAAAAAAAAGAATCAGATACACTCATAAATCATCAAGTTTTTACACCCATAATCTTCTATTTGGTTAATAATAATTGAAACAACTGTCCAACAACTTCTTAAAAGCAAAAATCTAAATAAACAAATAATATGGGCAAAAATTTTACGAACTATTCTAAAGAAGACAACAAAAAAAAATGTTTTTATTGAACACTTGTAAAACAAATTAAGAATAAGTTTGACTATCTCACATCAAAAGCAATTTAAAATCTAATATAAAAATATTTTTGTTTACGTTTCTTCTTCATATAGCTTCAATTTACATCTCTCATACTCTTATACACATTGAATGATAAGGATACCTTTCCTGAACATATTATCCTTACGGTATCTCTTTCTCTCTCAATTTTCTTAAGTGCATTTCTTAATAGCATTTGTGTTGTAATACACAAACTCTTAGGTATGCATTGTTTTCCATTTGTATTTGTAAAGAACATTAAGTAGATATAGATTGTGCACTTTAAAAACAAAAAAAAAAAATAAGAAAAATACTTAAGGACTTAAAAATTTCTTGGAAATTTTGTCGTGAAAAATTGAACTCTAATTTGAAATTTATCCGGTTAGTATCAAATTTCAAGTAAAAAATATAAAAAGAGAAAAAATAAATTTTAAGAGAAAATTTTACGAAAAAAAAATCAAACAGCTCTTTTTTAGAAATAAAGAACGTGTAAGGAGTAATTGTCAGTTTTAAAGACCAATGGAATATTATTGTTGATTAAATAATAATTTTTTGCCCTGTTACAAATTTTTTGATGTTAAGATACTCAATACATTGACACCACAATAAAATTTTAAGAAAAAAAGATTTTAGTGCCTTTCAAGATAAAAGCCAAAACCGAATATTAGAGGGCCAAATATTTGAATGAAAGCTGATTGCTTTACTTATTGGTATATTAAAAGAGAATAGGCAAAACGTGGAGGAAAATCTTCCTACATCTGCCTGATAAAGAATGATAGAACGCCAATTGATCGAACATGTTACGATGACACACTTTTATTTAAGTTGTGCGTAGAATCGGAATTTTTTATTCCATCCGAATTTTCGGAGCTTAAAATAAAAATATAAAAATATAAATATTTCGTTAAAATATCGCAATATGTCAGTCAGCGGCTTCACTCTTTTTCCGAAATATTTCATTTAAATTCGATTTCGTTGACAAATTGCAAATGATTTGACTAGCCTCAAATGTTGATTTACTTTTTTAACTGAGTAGTCCTGGTCGGAGCTCGGAACTTTGCAGGACAAATATATTATGTGGAAAATATAATGCAAAATTACTAAGCATACCACTCTTCAGCAAAGAACTCAAAAATACTTTAATATACGCTCAGTGTACAACGTCACAACATAGCATAACTCATACTGGTATATACGATTCAAACTTTTCCTTCTAATAAATTTCCAAAATCTAATTCAGTATTCTTGGAGTGAACTGCTACTATTTCACAAACATCTTCCCAAAATCAATTCTACACTCTATCACTTATATGTATAACTAATTTATATTATACACAAAAATTTTTTCTGGTTTAAATTTAAGTGTCATGTTTATAAACATCTTAAAATTGCATATACAAATAATTGAATCTTTAAGGATCATTTGATTAGCATTCATCGATTTCTTGTAAATTTTGTTAAAAATTCGTTCTTTATTTAAGTGTTTTTTTTTTGTGCTGGAATATTTTAAATTTGATACAGAATTCAATTGAACGGTTCTTTTTTTTTTTGTTGTGTCTGAAGGGTGGAATAAGTAAAACGACACTTTGTCTAAGAAAGATGAGACTTTTAAAATTATTAATGGCGCCATGCCACTAACATGCATTTTTTTTTTGTCTCTAATTTTTCAAAAAATCTAAATCAAAATAAATTCTTGGTGTGTCTATACTTTACGCGATATTTTCAGATACAAAATGCTCAGTTTTTTTTGGAAAACATTCAAATTTAAAGATCAAAAGGTCCTTTTCTATCTCTTGTTTTTTATTCAAATTTCATGTTAACAATTAAAGAAGGTTACTTAAAATTGAATGAATTTTAAAGATTTAGGTTTAAGGTTGAATGATATTTTAAAGATCGTAAATAATTTTTATTTAAAAAACATTATTTAGAGAAAATATTTCCTTTTTTTGTCAATTATATGCTTTAGTTTTTAAAATCTGTTAATAGATTGCTTGTTAATTTTTAATTTTTTCAGTATAAAATTAAAGGGAAATTTATGATCTATATTCGAATTTGTTTTCAATGATTTCTTATTCAAAACAAGCTTCTCTATTATTGGGCCTCTAGTACTAATTTTAACTTTATCTGGTATATTTGCGTTCATAGTCACACTGTAATTTTGTCAAGTAGGAATAAACAGGTTCTAAAATCTTTCCTCTTAAATAAAGCCATATCAACACAATATTGAAAATACAATTAAAATGAAATTTATTCTTCATTGCTGCAAAAAATACGGACGGACTACTTAATAGCTAAGATGGCTGCTTAATTTTCTTCATTAAGAATATAATTAAATTGGCAGTAATTAAAATTGCCTCAAAT